CCTTCCTTCCTTCCTTCCTTCCTTCCTTCCTTCCTTCCTTCCTTCCTTCCTTCCTTCCTTCCTTTCCTTCTGAGAGAGTGAGTGTGAATGAGGGAGAGGGGCAGAGGGAGAGAATCTCAAGCAGGCTCCATGCTCAGCTCAGAGCTCCATATCGGGTTCTATTCCATGACCCTGGGATCATGATCTGAGCTGAAATCAAGAGTCAGATGCTCAACCATCTGAGCCACCTAGGAGCCCCTATTCATCTGATTTCTAATCCTTAATGCTTTCATAAATGATGTTCATTTCAGTTAGTCAACAAAATATAAATTAATTTTAGTGCTCTTTGAAAGGAAAAATCATCTTGAAATAAAAAGAAAATACAGGAATATATACTATTATATCTTTAGAAGTACACATACATGAAAATTTGTCATATAAAGCATATATTTCATTAATAATGCGTTGCCAAGAAAGTACAAATCTTTTTTGGGGGGGAGAGGGCAGGTGGATTTTTCAGTGTTACAGAAATGGAAAGCAGCCCATCTCCACCATTCTCTCCTTTATTCTTACTAACAAATTCCAAACGATATATTTGCCAAAAAAACTACCTGTGTTTCCCAGACCCTTTGCATATGGGATGGCCAATGTGATATAAGACTTGTTCAAGGGACCTCTGTGAAAGCTATCACTGCCCTTCTATCTATTGATGGTTAGGGCTCCAGTAGTGATCTTGAGACCATGATAGAAAAGCCAAGGCAATTTCCGTTCCCTAATATCAGACCCAAATTGCCATTACTCTTTCAGCTTTTTTTTTTCCTTTAAAGTTTCTCTTTTTATAATTGAAATGATCTCTGTATTAAGAATGTCTTTTAAATGATGGTTTGACACTAATAAACTATGTGTATTCACATAGCTAATGTCTAAACCTTAAACTATGTGGTGAGGTAACTCTGACGTTGGAACTGTAAAATCTTTGACAATTATTCACTTGATTAGTGCAATGACTTTCAGCTGGTTGCACAGAATCAGGTGTGAAAATAAAACTTCACTAAGTCTAAGTTAATGGTGTTCAAATTTCGGCTTACATTAGAGTCCCTTGTTAAAACACAGAGGTGTTAAACATGTGATTCTTAAAACAGATTGCTGAACTTGTCTCCTAGAATTAAGAGATTCAATTGGTCTGGGGTAACATGGTCTCAGGTTATACTGATGATGCTGGTCCAAGGACCACCCTTTGAGAACCCCTAGTCAAGGCTACAGCCTGCGCATCCATGTAAATAGTTTAATGATTGTGATGATTGTGATGGTTGAATGCAGTATCATCCTTAATGAATGAGTTACATAATTGAGGGAGGGGAGGGTCATATCCCTAAGAAGGTTCTCAAACTTTGCATGCATCATAATCATCTGGAGGGCTTGTTAAAACACACATGGTTAGGCCTTACTCCCAGAGTTTGGGATTCCCTAGATCTGAGACAGAGGGGTGAAAATTTGCATTTCCCAGGTGATACTGCTGCTGATGGTTCTAGACATTTTAAAAACGACTGCTTTAGTGTAATTTGTATCTAACTAACTACCACTGCCATACTCTTGTTTTTTCCCTAAGTATCCAGAATATGGTGATAATTGTTGTGAAAGTTTAAGAATCTTCAGGAAGTCAAATTCCATTTTGAGGGCAATAAAGATGGGAGGGAGTACATCTTAGTCATCTTTACATGGCCTGTGGCATATTACAATGATGTTTTGCAAATACTAGAGTTCAAAAATATAATGCATTGAATACTGACGGTGATATCAAACAATTTTATGGTAAATAGTAGCAAGCTGCTTATTTAATCAGCCCTCAGTAAAAGGAAATGGATAATCACCATTTCTGAGTTAAAAAAAATGTATAGAAAGGGTTATCAAAGAAAAATTAACTTTGGCTCTACAAGATAATGGGCAATCTTCCCTCACATTTTGCCTTTAGACGTTTGTGAATGCAGTGCACCAAAGCTGAGTGTGATGTTGATTTGAGTCTGGAGATACGTGTGTATATGTGTGTATATATATTTGTGTGTGTGTGTGTATACACACACAAATACACAATTGTGCAGTTCTGAAATACAATAGTAATTGACTAAACTTGGTAAACCAGAGTTACAATGTTGCATGTGATATACTGAATGGATTATAATACATTGTATAGTAATACATACAGAACAATACATTTTTCTGTATGCTGAAGGCATACAAGAGATCCTGTAGAACAGGCTAATAGACTGATTATAGTGAAGAAGGGGAGTTGAGGCAGGTTCAGGGTAAAGGAAATACAATACCCAGACTGTACAAACCATCTTATGCGGTAACAAATGCAACTCCACAAAGCTGTAGTAGTCTCTCAGTAAAATCAAACAAAATTACCAAAAGGGTTATTGGGACAATCAAGGCTGGAATGCTCTAGTTCAATTACATCTGTGAAAATAACAATCTTCCCTCCTGCCCCTATTGGGGCCAATGCCATCTCCTGCCGAGCATCTACTGTGGCTGGGCCTGAGTCCAGGTGCCCGAACTAGCGCAAGACCTTCATTTCCCCTCGCGCGGAATCTTCGAGACTTTTTCCCGCCAAAGCGGGTGTTTCCGCCCCTCGGAGCCCAGGGCGCTGGCGGGACTGCGCATGTGCGGGGCGCAGCCAGTGGCTAAACCCCCGGCGGCTCCACGGACGGCGAACCGTGGCGGAGATGGAAGCGAGCCTGTTGCGCCAGTGCCCGCTGCTTCTGCCTCAGAACCGGGCGAAAACCGTGTACGAAGGATTCATTTCAGTTCAGGTACCTGCCCGCTTGTTGCCTGCTCGCTAGTTGGGCCTCCCTCTCGCGGCGCAGCTCCGCCCCTGGAAGTCAGTTACGGGAGCGGTTAGCGGCCCGGACCTGTGGGGATCGAGGGGGGCGGCGCGGGACCGCTTCCTCCGAGTCTAGAGGTTTGAGAACGGCTGCTATTGTGGGCAAGCCGGCCCCTCGCTACCGCGTCGGTGGCCGGGACGTGCTCGCAGCCAGGGACTTGGCCGGCGGAGCCCCGGGCTGGACCGGAGCGGGGGGCGGGGCGGAGGGCCACGCCCCCTCGCTCAGCTTCCTGAGTTTGGCCTCCCTTTTGACTCGGTGTCTGTCCCACCGTTAACTGTGTTTTTGTTTGTTCGTTTTTTCGCAAATTTTTGCCTACTTCGATTCTAACGCCATTCCCACCCCGCCCGACAAAACCCAAGAAGGTTGGTGCCTGTTCACGAGGAAATCCGTGCTAATTATATTCGTTTTACAGTAAAATAAATAAATTAAAAAATATGTATATATAAGCCTCCTTTTGGCTCCCAGCTTAGTCGTGTGTACCTGAACACCTCCAGCAGCGATATTTTGTACGGAATCTTAACAGAATTCATTACTTCTGAGTGCAAGTGGCTTCTCTTGTGGAGTTTATTACACATGGTAACACACGTGTACATTTCTGAAGTTTACAGAGTGCTTCCCAAGTACCTTGTTTCACTAATGCTCAGCCCCTTGAGGCACAATTTTTTAAAAAAAGTCATTCTCTCTTCATAGTTAAGTAAGTCAAAGCATGGGAAGGCGGAGAGGTTAAGTTACTTGCCCATGATCACCAGAATTCCTTAAAGCCAGGCTATGTGATTCACCTGTGGATGGATTTTGCTCCTCTGCATTGCACCAAGATACCCTAGGGTAGAATATTAAGGATAGATTTTTGCTCCCTGACCTTTACACATCATGGTACCACCTCTCTGACCACACATACATGTTTTTTTTTAATCTTTTAAAATTAACAGATCCAGCCTGAGGGAAAACTGGTGAAACCACACACAAATTAACCACCTGCAACATTTTTTAATTTTTAATTTTTTTTTTTAAGTTTGTTTATTGAGAGACAGAGAGTGATGGAGCAGTGGAGTGCGAGCAGGGCAACGAAGGGCAGAGAGAGAGGGAAAGAGAGAATCCCAAGCAGGGTCCGGAGGTGGGGCTCTGAACTCATCAATAGTGAGATCATGACCTGAGCTGAAATCAAGAGACTGATGCTTAACCAGGCAGTGGGCCCTAACCACCTGCAACTTATAATACGGGTCATGAATAGGTTAAATGATCAATCCGTACCGAACCATATGTGAAATAAGGAGAAATTCCTGAAGAGGAAAGAAACAAAGTGGTCATTTAAAAACAACTTAACATTGAAGCAGAACTGTATTTTTTTTTTTCAACATTTATTTATTTTTGGGACAGAGAGAGACAGAGCATGAACGGGGGAGGGGCAGAGAGAGAGGGAGACACAGAATCGGAAACAGGCTCCAGGCTCCGAGCCATCAGCCCAGAGCCCGACGCAGGGCTCGAACTCACGGACCGCGAGATCGTGACCTGGCTGAAGTCGGATGCTTAACCGACTGCGCCACCCAGGCGCCCCCAGAACTGTATTTTCTAAGAAAATATGTATGAATCTTAGGCAAGTTTTCAATTATTTGGACTCCTTTTTATAGAAACACAAATTATGCAATTTTGTCATAATTTAAAATTTAGTGATTAACCAGATAATTTGGAAAAATATCATGGTAATGAATAAAAATTTCTGTTCTCAGAATTATTTTTATTTTCTGAAAGGAAAATGAATAATTGCATTGCTCCACCTTACCTTGATTAACGCTCCATTCAACAATTCTCATCAAAACAGACATTGCCAGTATTAAATGAATGGGATGGAGGTAAAATTTAACTCTTAATTATAGTGATTAAGAGAATGGTTTCACCTTTCAAAAATGTTTGAGTATTGGGTATTTGAAAACTTGATAATTTATTTAACTTTAAAGGGAAGCATATTTCATGCTTTTTTTTTTTTAGTTATAAATGACATGCAACGTTATATTAGTTTCAGGTGTACAACATAATGATTTGATGTATGTATGTATTGTGAAATGATCACAGTTAAGTCTAGCTGTTCATCTGATTTGCCATATGTAGTTGTAGAATTTTTTTCCTGTGATGAGAACTTTTAAGATTAGTCTCTTCGCAGCTTTCAGATATGCAATAGTATTAACTCTGGTTGCCATGCTGTACGTTACATCCCTTTAACTTTTTTATGACTGGGTGTTTGTGCCTAGAAGGTGCACAACCTTTATCTGTTTGACCTACTTCCCCACTAGCACACATGCTTTTTGAAGATCGGGGCCATATCCTAGAATTATCGTTAAGTTTTGAAGTTTACTCAAAACATATAATAATCTCTCAAAAATACAGAGTTACCAAATTTACTTGCTAAATGAAACTTTTACCCACCCCTCAGAATATTGAGTGTATAACTAATCAATACACTGTAATTAAGGGAAGGTTACAGAGGCTACATATGGATATATTCATTTTTCTTCAAATTCATCGGGATCATCACAGAAAGTAGAGGTTAAATTTCATTATTATTTCTGGAATAAAGGTAATCCACTTTTCCCTTCCCCAGTTGGAAGTACCAGTCTTGAATTACCTAGGTGAAAACATGATTCACTTTTCAGACAATATTTAGGAAAATTGAAGAGATCTTAAGTTATGTTTTTATTAGGAACCATGGTTCTGGCATTTTAGGCACTTTAAAGAAAGTACTTTGTATTATATGTGTCTGTCTGCTAAAGCCTCTTAGAAAATGTGTAAACAAAAAAACAAAACAAAAAGAAAATGTGTAAACATCAGAATTGAGATTAGATGAAATTTACCTGTGACCCTTTGTTGTAGCTACAGTTCTGATTTGTACTTGCCTTAAGCAGCTTACTGAAATCATAACGTAAACAACTTAATTTTAACATTGTTTTGTTTGGTGGAGCTGATTTTCATCTGTTTGTTTTGTATATAATTTCAAACTTACAATAACAAGCATGTATGAAGATTACCCAGATTCTCCATTTTACTTTTGCCCCATTTGATTTATTATTCTGAGTGTGTGTGTATATATAATATATATATAATATAATATATATAATATTTTATATATATGTGGGTGGGTATATATACACATTATTTTTCTGAACAGTTTAAAATTAGGTTGTACACATAGTGCCTCTTTATTCTTAAATATTTCAGCATATATTTCATGAGAACAAGGATACACTTATATAAATCCACAGTACAGTTACCAAAATCAGGAAATTTAATCATGATGTAATGCCATTATCTGGAGTCCAAATTCAAATTTTGTTGATGTTGCAATTACATATTTTGTAGCCCTTTCCAGCCTCCTAAAAGATACCACATTACATTTAGTTGACATATCTCTTTAATCTGGAATAGTTCCATGGTCTCTTTGCTTTTAATAAATTTGAGAATTTTTAAGTTTATTTATTTTGAAAGAGACAGAGTGTGAATCAGGGAGGGGCAGAGAGAGAGAGAGGTTGAGAGCGAGAGAGAAGATCCTAAGCGGGCTCCATACTGTCAGCGCGGAGCCTGATGTGGGCTCGAACCCACAAAACCATGAGTGAGATCATGACCTGAGCCGAAACCAAGGGTTGGACCCTTAACCAAGGGTCGGACGCTTAACCAACTGAGCCACAAGAGTCCGACGCTTAACCGAGAGTGGGACTGAGCCGCCCAGGTGCCCTAAACTTGATGTTGTTTAAGAATACAGTTTGGTTATTAGGCAGAATGTCCCTCAGTTTGGGTTTGACTGATGTTTCCTCATCATTAAATTCAGATCATGTCACTTTGGCAGAGATGACACAGAAAGAATGTGTTATTTTCAGGGCTCATGAAGTTAGCGGGTTTCATTGGTGATGTTACCTCTGATCACCTGTTTAAGATGACATGTGCCAGGTTTTCCTTTTGTAATTCAGAAGTACTTATAGAGAGCTATGAGGCATCAAACTTTCAGGGGTACACACCAGTTTTAGCATCTATTGACTCTTGATTGAACCAGTTAGTACTGTGGTGGTTGCCAAATAAATTATGATTTCCTTTTCTTTTTCTAAAGTTTATTTCTTTTGAGAGAGAGAAAGAGAGACACAGAGAGTGTGCGTGAGTGGGGCAGGTGCGTGAGTGAGAGAATAACAAGCAGGCTGCACACTGTCTGCATGGAGCCAGATGCAGGGCTCAAACCCGTGAAACCATGAGATCGTAACCTGAGCCGAAATCGAGAGTCGGCCGCTCAATTGACTGAGCCACCCAGGTGCTGCACCAAATGATGCTTTTCTAACTTCACTAGTTTTTCTTTATTGTCATTTTATTATAAGGAGTAGCTTTTCTTTTTCCCCACTTACTTGTATCAGACGGGACTCATTGGTTTTAAAAATAATTTATTTAATGGATTGTGATCATTACTTATTTTGATGTTTAAATTATCCCAGATTTGGCTATGAGTGCACATTTTTATTGATAAAATTTTTATAGCTCTGCATTATCCTCTTATTACTGTTTTTATAGTACTCTGTATATGCTGACTTACAGTGTTTCATCGTCATAGTTTTTTAGTACTGAAGTTTACTTTGTAGATCCCTTGTACCCAGGAGTTATTTAATAGAAAAGTAAAACATTTTCTCACAAGTCTTGTTTTGATTTTTAATTTTGTTATTTCTAGTTCTCTTACATTGTGATTAGATAATCTTTGTAAAAATTATAGCGTGTGAAACTTATTGATCCTTTGTATGTGTATGTGTGTGTGAGAATAAACCCTCTGGCTTTAAGAAGATATTTTAAGAAGATATTATTAGATTGTTCCTTTTCTTTTGAGTGAGCCTTGGTAGTTTGTTTCCTTCAAGGAATTTGATTATTTCCTCTAGATTTTTGAATTTATTGTCTTAAATGTTATA